GCCACCGATTAGCGTGAGGGGATCTCATCGCTTCTCGATACGTAGTGGGCTCTGTCACATACCGAATAGCTAGTAATGTGTACAGTAATGTCCTGCGCTGCTCTTTCTCCTGTAAATCTTCCTCGGAATCGAGGGCTACATCCCTGCCGACTGAGTCGCGATGGAGTCTTTTAGGCTTAGGAGAGGAAGGAGGATCAGTTTTCGTCTCCCCACAGAAAGTGTAATGCGAGCGTTTTAGGGCCTCCCTGAGTGGGGGCAGTCTGGACAGCGCTGCAGATGTTGTCGTTGCAGGGACAGGTGCAAGATGTTGCGTTTGCACATTCGATTGTTGCATCTGTGATGATTGTTCAGGGTTTGTCAGGTTTGCCAAACGAGGGAATTCGTCCTCTTTGAAGGTTACATCACGGCTGTAGACAATTTCATGGGTATTGACGTCCATTAGGCGGTAGCCGTTCTTGTGCTCGGGAAGGCCAACGTACATGCACAAACGTGCTCGCGCATCAAGTTTATCACGGTATTGCTCTGTGATATGCGCATAGGCACTGCATCCGAACTCTTTGATGTAGTCCATGGATGGTTTGCGATTGTACCAAAGTTCATATGGTGTACGGCTGCTTATCGTCGAGCTGGGTGTCATGTTAATCAGAGTGGTCACATGACAGACACACTCCGCCCACAATTGCTTGGGAAGATTGCCATCAAGCAGTAGGGCTCGAACGCGCTCCATAATGGTTCGATTGCGTCGTTCGGAAACACCGTTCTGTTGAGGAGTGTATGCATTCGTAAACTGCGCATGTGCTCCGTATTTCTGGAAAATCTGGCGCCCGAGTTTTTCATACTCCTTTGCATTGTCTGCTTGCAAAACCTGAATGTCACAGTTCTCAGTAGGATGCTGATATTCAAGGACATTGACGTCGCTCCTAAAGATGTTCAGGGCTTTCTTCCTGAAGTCCTCATAGCACTCATATACTTCGCTTCGGTTCGTTATCGGATACGTGAACATGTACCGAGAGAAATCATCAATAAAGATGAGAAAATAGCGGCGTCCAGTAAGACTGGGAACAGGTATGGGACCACAAATATCTGTATGCACTTTTTCCAAAGGGTGTTTGGCACGTTCAACAATTCTATTAGAGTTAAACGGAGAGCGGTGAGACTTCGCTAATGTGCATGCAGTGCAGAAGAACTGTGCTTGCGGGTCGACAGATGAATCATTGTCTAGACCACTAATGGCTTGGCTCCTAGATAAATCATGCAAAATGCGAGCGTTAGGATGGCCGAGCCTTTTGTGTAACAGCAGATTGGAACGCTGCTTACCTGAGGTGGCAATAAGAGCCTCGTGTTTCATCACAGGGTTGGCTTGGAATTGGTATAGATCGGCATGGTTTGCCATCATTGCCTTGATCTTGAACTTCGCATCGGTTTGCACGGCGCATTGCTTGCAATCAAAGCTGAAACGAAAGTCATGCTTCACGGCTGCCGGTACCGAGAGAAGGCTGAATTTCAGCTCAGGAGCATACAGCACATCATGGAGGGTGAGCATCCTCTTGGTGCCTTTGGAGTCAATGACTTCCAGCTTGACTTGTCCAATTCCTTCGATGGGGATTTGGTTCTTCCTACCAACAGTAATAGAGCCGCTGCTCGCAGTTATGGTCGAGAACCACTGGGATTCATGCGTAACATGACGCGTGCATCCAGAGTCGATAGTCCAGGTGGGCTCGGGGCTCACGGTGGCTTGGGCAGTCAAGCTGATTGCGGCGTTGACAGTCGCTACAACAGCAATAAGACCGACATCGTGGCGCTCTTGGTTGAACACCTTGCGCTCGTTGCCTGAATCGTTCTTATCTAGGCTCTTTTCAGATCGGTTGTCACCTTCCGTTCGATGTTGGCCTTAAGTTCTCCGTACGGGATATACTTCCGCTGACCCTTCCAAACACGGAGATCATCCTTCCATGATTTGGGTAACGCGTGGAACAGGTAAATTGACTTCTGTCCTTCCGTCATCACCGATTCGGTGGCTTCTGAGATAGCATGCATCGCGTTTTCCAGTTCTAGAAAGAAATCATCAAGATCGCCTCCCTCCTCGTACTTCAGTTTCATGAGGAAATGCTGGATAAAGTACGGGTCCCTATGAAAGGCGGCACCTTCATACTTAGCACAGATTGCTTGGAAGATCTGGTAAGAAGTCTTCAGATCCTTTACTAGACGCACGTGCGTGTTGTCCATTGTTTTCATCAGGAACGCTTTCGTCTTCGCCTCTTGGCGGCGCTGCTCGCTAGGGGCTAGCGGCTTAGGCTTGCGTCGAGCCCCGCGCTTTTCAGCACGCTTCGCATCGCGGCGGTTAAGGGGACGGTTGAAGGGTTTCTTCTCCTTCGTCGTCGAGTTGCTGTCTCCGGAATCATCATCAGAGTCGGACGGGGGCTTCAGATCGTCGTCGCTTTCGTCATAGTCGACGGCATCAGAATCAATCTCTTCAGCCGGCTTGGACTTCGGCGAGTCGTCTATGTCGGACATGTCGCTCCCGCTATCATCGCTCTCTTCCTCGGATACACCGTCGTAGTCGGCCTTCGTCACGAAGCCGAGGAGATGGTTGCCGTCGAGGGCTGCGCACACGCGGGCCTTCCAGACATCAAAGTTCTCTGCGCCGATAAGACGCGGGAAGTCGTCGCTTGAGGCTTGGCTTGGGCTCATAACCTGTTACGGTGAGCGGATGGGAACAGACGTGTAGAGTAGACACTTGGGAGGAAAGGGAGAAAAAGAAGAGTGAATTGAATAATTAGTGGTGAGGAGGCCAGAGGCCTGTACACTCTGGCGTACACTATACAATAGTATACACCATTTCAGGTTCGTTCTCCCCACCGCGGGAGTTCGATACAACCACCCCAGAGCCGACTTGCACATAGGACCGGGCAAATCTCAGTTCAAAACACCCAATGCCTGAGTTCAATACACACAGGTGTCTCTTTTATTTTTTGCCTATTACTGCATAAGTACCAGCTTTTGTCATTTTCCTACCTCCATATCTTTTCGTTGTGAGCTGCTACCAATCGCCAGTTCTCAGCCCCCTTCGCTACCTCGAGGACACGTTCACGAACGTCTTCAGGGTAAGTGTTACCCATTCTGCCAAAACGTAAGTGGGCGCGATGCGAAGCGATGAATGGATGGATGCCTTTGAATTCTCGAATGGTCTCGAATTCTCGAATGGTCTCGAAATGACAAAAGTTGGTACTTTCGCAGAGACACCTGTGTGTATTGAACTCAGGCATTGGGTGTTTTGAACTGAGATTTGCCCGGTCCTATGTGCAAGTCGGCTCTGGGGTGGTTGTATCGAGCTCCTGCGGTGGGGAGAACGAACCTGAAATGGTGTAGTTCAGTCAATCACCTTAGAGAGGTCTCAGGTACAGCAGGTACAGTGTACCAGGATAGTGAGATGCATTATCCTTGACAAAAATAAAGTGGAGCGTGGCTGCATAGCCGTGCAATCAAAAGTGGACACGACGGAGCATAAACTCTGAAAACGGTTTATTCCCTTATTAATGATGTGACGAGCAACAAAAACAGCAATTATTTGAACCCACGAGTGCGAACACAGTAGAACTTGAGTCTACCCCCTTAGACCGCTCGGGCACACTGACGACAATAACATAGCTCCCACCACAAAATCATACACACCCATGAACACAACTGCACAGAACACCTACAGCCACATACGCCACGTACGCCGCCTCGCATTAACCACTACGCTCTCTTCAAAACCTTTCAGCAGTCCCACCACGCTCATTTACAAGCGGAAGACACCGGACATACGGGGTGGTCGTGTAAGCTGGCTTCGTGCTCCTCTTCCCCCACGTCCTTGTCCTCTTGATCACCACAGCACAAAACCACGTCTGCGATGGAGGGCAATGCATGCATTGCCAAGAATAGACTGAAGTGAGCACCTTCATATAGTCCACATTGAAGAAAGTGTAGATGGGTTAAGTGCAGTCAGCTGCCACAGCCTGGAGATTCATGCTTCCAGTCGACGGTTCTCTTTTCGGTAAAGACATACGCTAATAGCGTAATTGCGCGAGTTGGCTCTTTGACCTGACACAACACAGAATTTCGCGCATGATCTAGCCATCTCCTTTATCCCACATCTGCTGCTTTCGGTGATGCCTACGGGCAATCGGACTGGCAACGAAAACATTAACGCCTCTTAATCCGAATAAAGAACACTTTCTAAAGCACGAATTCATTGCTATGTATTAATAGCAAGCTGATATCGATGACATGCGAATGTGATACAAGTGTATTTGCTATTGTTGCAACGCAGGTGATATGATGTGAAGCTTTGGCGTCCCAGTTTCACACTCTCGTTATTGCAGCAAAACTCTCGAAAGCGTTCATGTAGTTAGCCTCCTCACTGCTTTCTTTATGACAATGGTACTACAGTAATAAGAAATAACGATTCTATAAATTTCATTGAAAGCAATCGCCACGCTCTGGAAAAGATTTCCAACAGCCGTATGTATACAGCTAAAATGTACGGTATCAAACTCTAGTTTCTGGAGAAGGAGCAAAACTTTGGATTAGCATTAAATAAATTTCTGTGGTGGATATTTTGAGATGCCCCAATACTTAGTCTACGTCTATTTTTGATTCCTCGATTAGCTCCATAGCTCCAGGATTAGGCTAGCTCTCTAAAACCGGTATTATAGCTGTACCGGTATTAATACAGGTTGTACATGTATACACACGAGCGTCTCACCGAGACAAGCTACGGTATCCCAGGTGGCGACAGTAATTGTCCGCATAGTGGCACGACTGGACGACGCTATTTCCTTCGACTCGTGCTTGCTTATGTGGAAGTTTTCACCAAGCGCCTGATGGTGCGTCCGCTAGCTGTGTGAATTATTACTGAGGCAGCATCGTGCTGGTCAAAATCGTTGATTCATCCTTTAAGTTACTATACACACTATCGCCTAATTCGATTTACACGTTCACTTTATTAGTCGACTTTATTAGTCGAGCAGCATCTTGGACAGAATGTCCAGCATCTCGGGGGTCCATGGTGTCGTGCACGCGGTCTCGAACGGGGCCGGCAGGTCCATCTCAGTCGACTCGGAAGCGAGTTCCCACGCGTTGCCTGTCCATTCCTGGTCAATACCCGTTGGACTCTCGCGTGTAGGCGTGCTGCACTTCTGGTTGGTGGGGGTGCTGCAAATAAAACTTAAAGACGGCGAAGACGGAGTCGGTGTCTTGTACTTCCTGCGCTCCTGTTCGGTGTGCTGGTTCTTAAGGTGGCGATTAAGGTTGCCGGTGGTGCTGAACGACTTGCCACACTGGGGAACTTTGCACGTGTGTGTCCGCGGGACGTAGTGCGTGCGCATGTGCTTGGCCAGCTTGATGTCACTCATGAATTTGCTGGAGCAGCCTTTCACTGGGCAATGCACAGGCTCGATGGCGCCGTGGAGACGCATGTGTCGGGACAGGTTACCTGAGGTGCTGAAGCGCTTGCCACAGCCACGTGCACGGCAGACATGAGGGCGCTCGCCCGTGTGCGTCTTCATGTGCTCTGTCAGCGTGTACTTGCGGTTGAACCGGCGTCCGCAGTGCACATCGGGGCACTGGAATGCGCGACTACCGCTGTTGTTCTGTTTGGGGTTCATGTCGGCGGGGATTTCGATGGGATCGAGTTGGATGTCCTGCATTCTGATGGGTTGGATTAGCTAGAGGTGGCTTGCTGGTTGGAAATGCCTGAGTAGTATCGGGCAAGTTAGAGAATGAGACCGACAAAACTGTTCGAAAACGTGATGCGGGATGTTCAGGTGTTGGCCAAGGACAGAGCGCAATCAGAGACCGCACACGCCGTTCGCTGGACAAGCGCAGCGTGATGGATGTCTTACACACGATTCGGACGGGGCGATTTGCCGCTCGTCAGCGGCAGCCTCAGGTCATCAAGACCATACAGTTGCAGGTCAGTTAGAGATACCAGCTGGTTTGTCCTGCCTTGTGCAAAAATGTTTGATTCTCGCTCACACAACATTCATGATGATTCCAATTTTGGATTTCCCAAAACCACGTAAATAAGGGAATCCAAGAAACAATTACCGGTACTTTTAAGTGCACCTACAGATTCTAGGCGGATTTAATCATGCATTAATTTTGAGATGACTGCCATCAAACCGTTTTCTTACTACTGTAAGAGTGTTTCGACCCTCTCCACGAGCGGCCTTATACGCCTGCAATACATGTATCCCTCAATGAAAACGACTGCACATCAGCCCCAGATATCCCCCGGGATTCCCGGGGGATATCCACGGAGCCCCCGTCACAGACACTGGAGACACTCGAGTGGAAAATCCAAGTGGGGGATTCCACTCCTTGATATGAAAACACGAACGGCTACAAATGCAATGCTACGTGTCAGATAAATCTTGTACATGTACATGTATCCGATGCTCGGCAGGTCGCTTATTTTCTTTCGAACGTGGAACTTGCTCGAGCGTACAGTGTCAGTTATGGGCCATAACTTATGGCTACACTGAACACTGTGTTCCTTTTCTCTTTCATGCTAACTCGAACAGCAAAATTCCTGATTTTCACAGTACTGTACATAACTTAGAAGTTTAATTTGAGGTAACTACATGTTACTGTATGACTCTGCGTTATCGTTAACTTCGATTATTGACCACATCAACACACTTACAAGCCATTTCATCACTTCAGCTAAGCAGCATGTGTCCGAGAATCTCGAGAGTCTCGGGGCTCCAGGCCTCGTCACACGGCTTGTCGATTGGGGCAGGGGTCACTAATATCATAACACCGTCTGTATTAACATCTGCCCCGTGTCCGTCAGGAACCTGCCAACTTGCCAGCGCCGATTGTACAAGCTCCTCACGCTTGTTGCTCGTGTAGTGCTTCTTGAGGTGTCGATTCAAATTGCCTGTAGTGCTGAATACCTTCGTGCACCCCGCAACTTTGCAGGCGTGCGTCTGGGGGGCATCGTGCTGCTTCAGGTGCTTCGCAAGCTGGACGTCGCTTAAGAAACTGCGCGAGCAGCCGTCTCGAGGACACCGCATGAGAGGTAAGGGTCCGTGAAGACGCATATGCCGCGCGAGATTGCTAGAAGTGGCGAATCGCCGGCCGCATACCGCTGCTCGACAGACATGGGGTTTGTCTCCTGTGTGGGTCTTCATGTGTGTACTTGCGATTGAAGCCGCGTCCACATTGCTCAAGTGGGCAAATGAATCGCTTTCCGTCTTCCCTCGACTGCATTGCCGTGACTTGGGCAGGTTTTTGGTAAGTCGGGGAATGACATTCATGGTTTCCAGCCGCCAGGATAGCGGCATGTCCACCTTGACACCAAGGATATTTTCTCTGATTGTCGGTGACATTACTGCGCAATTGCATTGTAGACCCAGCGAAGATTGTGCTCCCCAGCTTCAAGACTGAAGGTGCATGTAAAGGGTGTCATGGCTACCTTTTCGCTGTCATACGCAGCAGCGTCGCTGGAATTGCTGTGCCGGTACAACGGTGACCTGACGCCTTCACAGGAAATTCCCGCCAGAAAAAATAAATTGTAGTCGTTAGACAGCAAGCCTTGCTGTCTAACGACTACATTTTATTTCTTGCCTTGCTGCAAGGCGCGTGGGCGAAGGCTGGATACTGTACTGTACATGTTCAAATGACCATTGTGCACTTGTTCTGTACTGATACTGTAGCCAAGCAATGTTTTCAAAACATTGCTCGTTGCAAAGATAGCCCTAGCCCTTAAAGGATCATAATCTATGTAATCCAATGATGCCCCAAATCCGGCATATATGTAAATGGTTCAGCATTTGGCTAAAGGTTGACAGGCGTGGGTTTGCACGACAACTTCGACATCAGCTCAGCAACCTCTTTAAATTGATTTCAGTTAAATTGATAGAGGTTAGTACAGCGATTAAGTTGGCGGCGGTGACCAACAAGTGGCTCACTTGTTTGAGGTTGCGACGCCAAGCAAGCTTTGTGAATACGCCGACGGGGTCGATCTGTATTGCGTGCCGATAGAAGAATGACTACACGTACACACAATTCCTTGGTCCGACACAGCAAGATGCCAGCTCGAACAGCAAAAAAGCACACCACCACAACATCAATCGATTGCTTCGATTCCACTGTGAGACGATTGCAAATTCGCATCCAACGTAGCGCTCTATGGTTGCTGACTCATTCACGACTGCGTAATATGTTGGAATTAGGCGTCGAACCCGGATTTTTTTAGTCTACAAAATGTCTACAAAGGTAGCAGACACGAACTAAAGATCATGGTAACCTGAATCCGTATCGTGGCTCGCACCGAGAAGTTTTTGGCAAGAACTCGGGAATGGAATTGCTCCAACCACCAACTTCTGTTTGCTAAGTGTCTAAGGGCTCGAATTGCCAACAGGGCAGACCGAATTAGATACCATACAGAATGCTATGATTAGGCCGGCACTTTTCTGCTAGTCCAAGCCGAGGCTCGAGTATTGCGGTGCTGCAAGTGAAGACCGACAAGCTTCTGCTGGCTGTGTGCGATTGCAACCATGAGCCAGTCGCCACTTCGATCAGGCTTCGAGGTACAAGGGTTTAACTTGACGTTGTTGCATGGCGGGTCTATCTAAATAATGGTGCAAATTTTTTTCTCTTTTGCAGCGTCCGCCCCCCGATGCAGCGGGTATGGTATCGTCGATGACTCATAAAGGCACAAAGGAGACGAGAGCAGCCGAGGCGCTCGCCATGAAGGATGAGCAGATGAAAATTCTGAGTAGTCAAAACGCCCAACTATTGACTTCGCTTAATGCAATGGACGACGAGATTGGCACGTTGAAGATGAACAAGCTCAGGCTCGAAGAAGAGAACCGCAGTCTTCGTGACCAGAACTTCGAGCTGCAAAGCAAAGCTCGTGCGGCTGAAACTACACTCATTAAAGCGCAGGTACGCTTCTCTCTAAGACAAGATAACTTCGAGCAGTGATACATTTTGAGTGGTCTCACTGCTTGCAGACCGGAATTGAGGAGCGCGAAACTCAAGTGAGGGTGCTGACCGACCACAATACTGAGCTTTTGCGTCTCCTAGAGCACGAGGAAGCGCAGAGCTCGTCTTTAGCTTCAAGGACAGCCCAACTCAAGTCGGATCTCGAGACATTGGAGACGCGTTATGCTTCTCTGTTGGCATCTGCCAAGACTCACGAAGAGATTGCCACTCGAGCTACTCGTGAAGGTCAGATGCGAGCTGAAGAAGTGCGTTTGCTGCGGAACGAGAGCGACCAGCTACGTGCTTGTAATGTCGAGATGAAGATGAAGACACAAGTCGAGCTTGAAGCTTTACAAGAGCAACTCCGTGTACGCAAAGAGAAGCAGTACCAGCTTTTGGAGAAGCGTCAACAGCTTGAAGAAGCCAAGCGACAGAGTGACGATCAACTCGCATCCGCTGAAGACAAGGCCAGAAAGCTGCATGCTCGCAACCAGGAGCTTGAGACGCAGGTCCAACTTGAAGCCAAAGCCAAACGCGCACAGATTGACGCCAACAAGAACTTTTTCATCGAGAATGGCAACCTGCAACGTGACAAGCTCGAGTTACAGACTCGCTTCGATAAGGCTGAACAGGAGCGCTCTCGTATGGAAGCTGAGAACCGCGACTCTGCTGATCAACTACGAGAAATGGCTGAAAAAGTCTTCCAACTTCTGGAACGTCTTAAACTGGCTGAACTGGGGAAGACGAAAGCCATCGACGGACTCAAACAGAAGGAGATTGAGCTGCTTGCTCTAAAGAAGAAGAACGCTCGACTGCTTAAAGAAGGCACTCAAGAAGGCAAAGCACGCGTCAAGTCCGAACTGGACAAGAAAGTGCTGCTGGAACAACTTCAAGCCCTTAAGAAACACAACGCGCAATTGTCGTTGCGCTGTAGTGACGAAGTGAAGGCGAAACTCAAGGAAGCAGATGAGCGTAAGCAACTCGACGAGAAGATCAAGACCATGAGTTCACGTGTGGCCTTCCTGCTCAACAAGATGCAAGCGGATGAAGAAGCCAAAATCGTGAGCAAGGAAGAGACGAAGAAGCTTCAAGCACAACTCACGACGTTGCAGGAGAAAGGAGCGGAACTCGCACACAAACTCCACTCGACTGCTGAGAGTAACCGTGTGGTCGCAGAAGCTCTTCGTTGTAAACAGGACGAACTGGACGCACAAGCAATCAAGTTTGAAGCTACCCAGAAGAAGATGGCGGAGATGGCGTTGGCTATGGAGCAGTCGGGCGTCCCAATGACCACAGGAATCGATGGAGATAACCAGCAAGGGCATCAGAGAGAAGCGACACATCCAGACGACGCAGCCGCAGCAGCCAACGGCCGGTTCTTCGTCGAGTGTCGAGCTTTCCACGGTGGTCTGCTACTCATCAAAGCCAGACGCGCTAACTTCACACCGAAAGCTCAGCAGCGATCCATCGATTTTCTCGAACGAATGGGAGTCAACACGTTCCTCAAACGAGCTCAGAAGAGTCTCAACACCAAGCAGCTCCTTGTCGAACGCATCGCAGCTCTTCTCACCACTATAATCTCCAGCGAAGACGTCCTAGCTGATGTCAAGGAGCAGCTAGCAGCGAAAAACGATCAGATCGGACACTTGTCGCGCAAAACTCGCTGGATGCAGGAACGATTGACCACTGAAGAAGACGCAAAGCGGAAAACCTTGCTGCGGTACGTGCATGAAGTCAAGTCTCGCGCTCTGACCGTGTCCACGGAGTTAAATGACGAGCGCAATGGTGGCATCCTGAAGCTTCCTGAGAGCGGAGTGGGGGACGAAGAAGTGCACGCCATCGCTGCTCTCTTGCGTAGTGCCACCAATGTCCGTGAGCTTCAGTTGCGAGGGAACGCGATCTCCAGTGAAGGGGCACGAGCCATTGCTGCCGTGCTGAGTATTTCATCCTGTCGCTTGCGTCAAGTCGACTTAAGGAATAACCAGATCGGCAAAGATGGCATCAAGGTGCTGGCTGAGGCATTGGAACGGAACGAGCGTATCAAGCACGTGTACGTTCATGCTGGTGGAAAGATCGAGGCACTCGGTACCACATCTCCAGCGTCTCAGGCTGCCATTGTGAACGCACAGATCTCCAGTACTGCAGCGTTGGGGAGTTCAGGCTCAACACATGCGTCGCTAATTGGCGTCGAGACAGTCTGCGTCGTGGACGTTCGAGAACAGACGGACGTAGACACCAGCAGTGCTTGCACGAGTCTTCTTGTTGACTTCACGGACGATCCACGAGTCACTGCAGCTGCAGGACCAGGCAGCACTTTCAAGTTGAAGCTGACAGGGATCACGGGAGACACTGGCATGCAGTCGTCTATGGCCTCTGTAAACGATCGGGACAGTAGCAACCGGCTCTTCTTGCGGCGTCCGTTATCTGCGGCTGCGTTGAAGCGCCAGCGTGAACGAGTTGCCCTGGAACGCAAAAAACGACAAGAAGAAGCTAAGCGTCAAGCTCGTAAAGAAGCGGAGTGGGCTGGTCGATCCGGTGGGATGGAGTCCAGTCCTTCACATGCTTCGTGTAGCAAGAAGTTGCCGCCGATTTCGACAAATAGCAGCGGCAAAAGCGTGACACGGATAAGCTCAGCACCTGTACTTCACAAGAATAAAGAGGAGCATGGCGCGGAGGCAGGCGATCCAGCCGAGAGCTGACAGCATCATGTCAATTCAGTCCTTTGTGTTGTGTTTCGCCCCCTATACAATCAACAGTTCTGCGGGCGTATGTATTCATCTTTTCAATGTTATTGCCATGGAACACCCCACGTACCCATCGTGTAGACACCGCAGATTATCAACTCTTTTCGCTATACAGTGAAGTCTGTGGCAGCGTCTCTCTCGCGTTCTCTCTCACGAGCCTTGAGCATTAGACGCTGTAGAATCAACAGATTTGCACGTCCTGTTCGCCGCTCCGATAGAGTCAACAGGTTATCGTTCTCCTGCGACATAAATTGTAACAGTCGCGATACTGTCGCGTTAGCCTCGCTTGCCGTAAGCACCGGGAGATCATCCACCTTGATACTGTCCAGCACCAAAGCCCTCTGCGTGTCACGGAGTAGTCCTTGTGCAGCTAAACTTTCCACGACGATATCATTGTCTTTGACAAGCTCGTCTGCTCCGTTAGACTCGGACTTGTCGAAATCCAGTAGTTCCAGCATAAACTGCCCAGAGTTCTCGGTGTAATCCAGTCCGAGCGCCTTCTGAAGAGCTGGCGCTTTAGTCAAGAGCGTCAGAAGCTCTGCATACGCTTTGTTGTCATCTTCTCCGATCATTGCTGCATTGGCGACACCATCGCCGGGTTCAGGCGCTGACAGGTACAAGGAAGCGGCCCATGCGTGTCGAATAGAAGAAGAAGGCACGGATTCCCACGCCATGTGTAGCCAGCTCAGCGTGTTCCGTATGTGAGTGTTAGCATGGACATCAAAGGATTCGATTACAGGAGATCCGTCCTCATGAACTGCTTCGTTCTGTTGAATAGACTTTGACGTGGCGGCCCACTGTTCGTATTCGTGGAGCAGCGTCAGCAGCATTTCACGACGGAATCGCAACTTGAATGATCTGAAGACTCCTTGGTGAAGAGGTTGAGCGCCGTCCGAAGGTCCAGGAGGTAAGAAGAGCAGCACAATTGAGTCAAAGCTGAAGCCATTTCGGAACGATCCCGACGGATTCAGCGAATGCGCAGCAGCAACGTGAGCTGTGCAGCTGTCCAGAACCAGATACCAAATCTGCTTTCTCGCTGTTGCTTCGTGATTCATTGCCTGGATGAAATCCGTGATCGTAGGCGCGTCGTGTGCAGCCCGACAGTGATCACGATACTGGACACCATACGTCGCCAATGTGTCCACGTCCTTGATGGACTCCGGGTTCGGATCTTTACCAACGACTTGCAAATGAAGCTTCTCCCCCGACGCACTCACTGCCATTGCAACTGAAATACGCTCCAGACTACGCACGTCCATGTTAACGACCGAGTCCAGTCTTGCTGATGTCGTGCGGTGTCGTAGAATCAGCTCGTCCAAGCTCCAGATGCACGTTGGCGCTACGTTCATTAGTATTTCGCGTACCTTTTGGACACGCTGGTCAGGCGTCATCCTGTCTAGAGTGATCGACGTCGCTCCTGGTGGCGTGTGGTGCTTCGGGAGTGAGCGCATACTGCGTCGCTGCATGTACCTGTGTAGCCATCCGTTGGATGCCTTGAAGTCCGTGAGCGACATGATCACTTCGTCTGACAGTTCGCTGCTATAATCTGCCAATATTTTGTTGCGGAACTCCATGGCTTTGGACTGCAGCAGCTCTCCCGTGACTTTGACCCCCGGTGCATCCAACTCGACCTGCAGCTGCCATTTGTACAGCATATCTTCAATGACACTGAGTTTGTGTTGATACTGTAGCACCTTGCGACTACTTGTTGCGCTCTCCACTAGCGCCTGAGCTGAAATAGCTGCTCGTTCCTTCACCATCTTAGTCACGGCGGTACGTGACACGCCGAACTTCTCGGCTGCAGCTCCCTGCGAGCCTCCCTGGTCCACATACGCCAGGATCTCCATCTTCTCCAAGTTAGTCTTACGAACACGACGTCCTTTCCGCGGTTTGGGCGGCGGAGGGGCTGGTATCTGTTCCTGTATTGGCTCAGCGGTGGCTGCGACTGCAGCATTGAGACCCACAGCCTCCTCGTTCGAGATCATCAATTCTACAGGCTGCGCGGCTTCATTTAGTACAGCGGTCACCTGCTCAGCCTCGTTCTTGGTCTCAAACGGAGCTTCTGATTCCGCTTGATCCTTTTTAGTCTTAAGCTTTTGCTTGCGCTGTTTCTTAGCTTCGGCTGCTGCTAACGCGTCATCTTGTGTGCGCTTACCAAGAGAGGACGGGGACGCAGAGGATGATGACGTGGCCATATCCGCCTGGAGGTCGCTCTCTGTGTCTGAGGATGGCGAAGTTGCTGCCTTGCGTGAACGCTTGGTGTCCATAATGCGGAATCGCAAGTGATTGGACGGGGGAGCGAGAACAGTGACATCTCCTTATAAGAAAACCTCTAAAATGGCCAAAGCTCTTATAGAGATCGAAAATGTGGCGTTGCGGAGCTGGTCGACGGCATGGCTTGCGCGGCGTCGCCAATGCTGCGCGTCCATGTTCCGCTGGAACTACGCTTAAGACATCATTTTCCAGTCTTCAGGCTACCGTTGCATGTGGCTCTGGGCTCCAGGTGACGCGTGCGTCCTTCACAAGAGTGAGGTGCTCGTCACATGCTGCTGTCTCGTTGCTGTCGTCGGCGCCCGGGTCTGCTACGCGAGGTTTCTGCAACCATTTGGACAGGAACTTGGTATTCCCGCGTCAAATTGATTGTTATGGAAGGTCTAGACTGCCAACATTTGACCGACGTGCCTTCAGCAGCGTGGAAAGTATCTATCAGAAGAAGACCCCGCTTGAGCATGTGTTGTTGCGCCCAGGCATGTACATCGGGTCAGTCGAGGCTGCAAAGGACACGATGTGGATGGTGCCTTCTGAATCTTTATCTAAAGAGGAAGGTGAAGATCTTAAAATGAAACAGCAGGCCGTGGAGTATGTCCCTGCGCTCTACAAGATCTTCGACGAGATCATCGTCAACGCCGTGGACAACAAGGTTCGTGATCCAAGCATGAGACACTTGGACGTGATCATTGAACCTGGAAGTAAAGCCAATGGATACAGACCTTGGATCTCGGTGTATAATGACGGCAAAGGAATTCCCGTCAAGTTCCACAAGACGGAGAAAGTCTACGTACCAGAGCTGGTGCTCGGTCACCTACTCACGGGATCGAATTTTGACGATACAGCCGCGAGATTAACTGGTGGAAGACACGGATATGGCGCCAAATTGACGAATATATTCAGTAAGGAGTTTGTAGTGGAGACAGGGGACACGTCCATGGGATTACGATACAAACAGGTCTGGCACAACAATATGCGGACGCGTGGAGAGCCAGAGATTACTGAATTTAGTGGAAAAGACGCGAAAGATTTTACAAAAGTGTCGTTCTCACCCGATCTGGAAAAGTTTGAGATGGAGAAGCTCACTGCAAGTATGACGCGTGTGCTGAAGAAGCGCGTGTACGACGTAGCTGGCTGTTTGTCGGACGTACAAGTTACTCTAAACGGCAAGAAACTTCCCATCTCAGGCTTCGAGTCGTATATCAAGACTTTCCGCTACTCAACTACGAACAACCCAGTTTCTAAGACCGCAAAACCATCGAAAGACAGCGATGACGCAGCATCTTCTGGCTCAGATTACATTTATTCGCGAGTGAACAAGCGGTGGAAGATTGGCGTCTTGCCCTCTGATGTGGGTTTTGTCCAGGTGAGCTTTGTGAACGGAATGTCTGCGCTACGTGGCGGCTCCCATGTGGGCTATGTGAGCGACCAAATCTGCCGTCGTGTTGCTGAACATGTCAATAAAAAGTTCCCAGAGCTCTCAGTTAGCACGGCTCAGGTGAAGCCGCACATGGCGATTTTCATCAATTGCCAGATTGAGAACCCGACGTTCGACTCGCAGATGAAAGAGTTCATGACGTCGCGACCGCCTACCTTTGGATCAACTTGTGTCCTCTCTGAGAGGCTATTAAAGCTGGTGCTGTCAGACTCGGGTATCGTTGAGCGTGTCGTTCAAAGTGCCCGTGCGCGACAACGTGCAGCTCTGCTCAAGAAGGTCTCGTCCACGCGTGCCAAAAGCTCGTCAGTTAATGTCCCGAAGCTGGAGGATGCAAATCTGGCTGGTGGAGCTCGCTCAAGTGAGTGCTCGCTTATATTGACGGAAGGTGATTCAGCGAAGGCTCTTGCAGTGGCTGGTCTGGCCGTCGTTGGACGTGACCAATACGGTGTCTTCCCTCTGCGTGGTAAGCTGCTGAACGTGCGTGATGCCACCGTCGCGCAGCTCGGTAAAAACGCCGAGTTTGCGCACTTGTGCACGATCCTGGGACTTCGTATGGACGAGCATTATGGCACAGAAGAAGCGCGTCAAAAACTGCGCTACGGACGTGTGATCGCCATGACGGATCAAGATCATGACGGCTCGCACATTAAAGGCTTGCTATTTAACTTGTTCCACACGTTCTGGCCGGAGTTGTTGAAGGAAGGTGGCTTCATTAGCGAGTTTATTACTCCTATCATCAAGGTGAGTCCTACATCCAAGCGTGTGGGCACGGAGCGTGGTCTAGAGACACGTCGTTTCTTCAGTTTACCTGAGTATTTCGAATGGAAAGCGTCGATAGACTCGGCTGACCTCAAGCACTACGTCATCAAGTACTACAAGGGACTGGGTACAAGTACTAGTGCTGAAGGACGCGAGTACTTCAGCGACCTGGACAATCACCTGGTGGACTTCCACTGGAGTGGGGATAACGACGGCGATGCGTTGGATATGGTGTTCAGTAAAGCTCGTGCTGCAGACCGCAAGGCTTGGCTATTGAACGAGTATTCTCCTGCCTCTTACCTCGACACGAGCTCGGGCAGTGTCACGTATCAGGATTTTGTGAACCGTGAACTCATTCAATTCTCTCATGCAGATAACCAGCGATCGCTTCCGTCGGTGGTTGATGGTCTCAAGATCTCGCAGCGAAAAGTTCTGTTCGCCTGCATGAAACGCAAACTTACAAGTGAAGTGAAGGTGGCACAGCTAGCAGGTTATTGCAGCGAGCACACGGCGTATCACCACGGAGAAGCTTCGTTACACTCGACGATTGTCAACATGGCGCAGGACTTCGTGGGATCCAAAAACCTGCCGCTACTGTTTCCGTCAGGTCAGTTTGGTACGCGATTGCAAGGAGGTAAGGATGCTGCTAGTCCTCGATACATCTTCACGTTGCTGCAGAAGCACACTCGCTTGGTATTTCCCGAAGAAGATGACGCGTTGCTTCGCTACGCTGATGATGATGGATTCCCGGTCGAGCCTGTGTTCTACGTACCTATTATCCCGATGCTACTCGTGAATGGTGCAGAGGGAATCGGTACAGGCTGGTCTTCGTCGATCCCTTGCCACCACCCGGTGCTAGTGATCGACAATCTTCTGAAGCTTCTGGATGCAGAAGAAGCTGGAGATGATCTCTCGATTGTGGAGCTATCTTTAATGACCCCGTGGGCCAAGGGTTTTAGCGGCGATATTCGGCAGACTGGCAAGCATTCGTTCGTGTCTCGTGGAAACGTCGAGCAGGTCAATACGTCGACAGTGCGTGTGACGGAGCTGCCTGTAGGCAAGTGGGTGGAAGACTACAAGAAGTTCTTGTGGGATCTTGTTGGGAAGAAAGCCATCCGCTCTTTCTCCGAGCATCATTCGGAGCGTGATGTGCGCTTCGACATCTCCATGACACGCTCGGATCTTGCCAAGTACGCGGAGGACGCAGCTGAGAATTGCGATGCCGGCGACAGTGAAGCGTTGGTTAAGCTCTTGCGTCTGGAAGCGCCTCTTAGTACCAGCAACATGCACGCGTTCAATGCTGACGGACAGCTGGTCAAGTACGAGACGAGCGAGGACGTTTTACGTGACTTCTACGGCGTCCGTCGCAAACTGTACTCGAAGCGTAAGCGGCATCTGGAGCAGCGCCAAACCAAGGAGGTACTCCGTCTTAGCAACCGCATCCGCTTTATCCAGGAGGTTTCAACTGGAAGTCTACAGAAAATCCTCAGGGAGCGTATCCCCAAGGCCGAGCTGATTGACCTACTTAAGGAGCACGGATTCGCTCCTGCGTCGGCTTTCAAGGAGGAGGCGATTGACCACATGGGAGACCTTGGACTGGCTGCTGTTGGTCGAGAACAAGGCAAAGCTGGCGATCTTGATGGAAGTGAAGACTACGACTATCTGTTGAATACGTCGCTCATGAGCTTCACAAAGGAGTTTGCGGATCGTCTGCGGAAGGAGCACGATACCAAGCAGGACAAGCTACAGCAGTTGCAGGCGACGACCCCGGCTCAGCTCTGGCGCAACGAGTTGGAGCGACTGCGCGCTGTGCTGGTGCGTGATGAGGAGTTTCAACTGTAGACTGCTACACTAGCAGATAAAAATTAGAGTCCATGTAGACAACGGTGGACACTTCATGTCCAAATTGAATTTTTGCCATGTCTATCCAATAATTCGTTAAAATATTTCATTAATTGAAGTGGTTTTAGCCAATCATAGCTTAACAATGGCTCCCCCTCTTTTTGGAGAGCCATTTTCTAAACGAGAACTCAGCGACGCTCAAGAGACCAGGTAAGATCATGTCGGCTTGTTGTGGGGCTAACCAAGACTGTTCCCCGCCACAGGCGGTATCAGCTTACACAGCAGCGTCTGAGCTCTCTGTTGAGCCCCTATACGCACTGATTAGGCCACCGCAAGACACAAAACTAACACACCTCCGCGGTCGTTTCCTTCCTTGTATCATTTTGCAGCGAGTGACGCGTTTGGAGCCATGGCGAAGCATGGCGCTGAAGTGGTGATCGGTACGTATTTTTCTATTATAGTTATGCTCTTAAATGGAGCTTAAGGTGCATCAAATTGGCTTCAGAACGAGATTGTTGATGAATACTGACCTGTGATTTGTCTTGCTATTTGCTGCTGATGCTTGCCAGTGCCCCGTAACTTTAAGCTACTGGAGGAGCTGGAGAACAGCGAAAAGGGCCACGGAGACATGAGCATCTCGTACGGATTAGAGCAGGCAGACGACATTTTCCTCACAAACTGGATCGGCACCATCCTTGGCCCTGCTGGCGTGAGTCTACGACATTGCGTTCTTTTATATATCTCCAGCCGCCTGACAATTACATATTGAATTGCTGTAATACAGACTTGCCACGACGGACGCATCTACAGTCTGCGGATCCACTGTAGTGACCAGTACCCCCATGTGCCGCCCGAGGTGCACTTCACGAGCCGCATCAACATGAGCTGCGTGGACCCCCAGTCGGGCCGCGTGGATCCGCGACGACTGGCAGCGCTGGGCAGTTGGCACCGCAATAATGGCATCGAGCACGTGCTTGTGGCTATCCGTGCCGAGATGGCTTCGCCTACCAACCGACGTCTGCCGCAGCCGCCTGAGGGCGCCAACTTTTAGAAGCGTGTCGCTTTTAGGGACGAGTTTTTTCTGCTGTTGAAGCCGAAAAGAGAGAGAAAAAATTAGGAAACGAAGGGTGCAATGCGCTCTCGAAGGCCGAGGAAGGACAGTCTCTCCTTTTTTACTTCAAGTAATGCCTAATGCATGATAGTACTGCATATTTAGGCATGCTAGTCGTGCGAATCTGGTGCGACAGAATCATCTTTATTTCTGGTCTAGAATGCTGCTAAATATTTCTAACTTTGTGGGTAGCGGGATCTAAAGCGGATCCCTTTGGGTGTGGAGAATATCATCGGTGGGTCCTCTTTCTGAGGTTCTTCTTCGGAGAAATCTTCTTCTTCTTCTTCGTACACTTCTTGGTGGGATTCCTGCGACTGTGGCTGAAGACGTCGCCTTAAAGTTTGTACTTTTACAAAGGGGTATCGGAGAATATGCAAGATGGTGGCAAATGCGCGTACAAGATCGACACCCGATGCCAGAGTGAAGAGCGGCACGAGCAGATATCCTACAGCTTTCCATACAGGCGACGGGTGGCTGCCGAACGGGAGCAGGAGTAGCAAATGTAGTAGCAGCTCGCGACCAACGCCACATGCGCAAATGATTGCTCGGTATCTGTAGTCCCAGTGTGCGAATTGCTTGAACAATAGATGCCAATCTCGTCGTTCTTCCAAGAAGCGCACGTGCACTGCAGCAGCGTTGATGCAGCTGACACTGAGATCAACAGTGAGCATATACTGGAAGGAAGAGCTTAACGCCGGGTACAGTCTTTGCAGCGACAAATACAGCACCAGCACTGCCACTCGATCCAGTACGACAGACGTGAAGCTTGCAATTGTGACCAATAATCCACTCTTGATGCACAGCATGAGTCTTCGTGCGATGACGTCGCAAGCTAACATCATGAGCAGCAGCGTCGTCACGTTGGAGCGCAATTGCGGACCTGAACCAGTGCTTGTTGCGGGTCGGAACATGCACAGCATCACGTAGATTAATACTGCACGAAATGATTCCAACAGCGGAACCAACGAGACCGCCAGAAAGTGCTCAAACAGCGACTTGTCCGACACGACGCCCCAGTATCTTGAAAACACGTAGACCTCTCGTTGATTCGGCGGTGGCGAGGTGATTATCCCGCTCTCAGGAGTTGGTCGTGACGTGCGTATCTCGAACTCTGGAGGAGACAGACATCCGACACAGAATCGTGTGTCAATCTCGCTGCGAAGAGTCCTCGAGTGTGCGGACTTGCAGTGCAATACGCGGAACTCCTTCCGACCGTCTGTAGCCACTCGAATGGACGACACTTCAATAAAAAGAGGGTCCAAAAGTAACACTTCATTATCCTGACCCGCAGAGAAGAATGACTCGTTACGCAATGATCCGTCGGCTTTGGCCCAGAAGAGATAAGGCTGCAGTAGATTATCCACGTCAAGCTTAAGATCACCCGGAGAGCACCATATAGCCACCTCGTCGCCTGGTAATAGTGTGTACTTGGCAGGGAAATTGAAGACGTCGCTGCTGCCACTGCAATTCAAACTGAAGCCCGTCAATTCGACGCACTCCTCTGATGGATTGGACACTACGACCCACTGCTTGGCTGCGTCTGCGCGCGAGATGTAGAGCTGCTGCATGACGATCTTGTGACATATTTGCATACTTGCGCGCGCCACTTGCCGGTCCAGCGCACCCAGCGGCAAACGCCGCAGCAGCGGATAGCTCATTGCGATAAGAGAGCAATGATGAACCTTTCTGAAATTGGACTTCCCGCCAAATGTCGATGGTGTGGTGGACGTCAATATCCTATTGAAGAGTATACATGTGATCATCTACTGTAACTGATACCGGTACATGTATTTTGGGCTCATGCCAAAATAAAATGGGTACATTTTGGATCTGCAACGCTTGTTGATTGAGTTGGCGACCCTGTTTTCTAAATCCGGAATTGACAGTGAACAAGTATTATCAATTCCGGTTTTTTTTTCCAATACTATTAATACAGGTGCTTCCAGAAAGCGATCTTCTGTTATTCTGTTTCTTTGCAAAAGCGCTTCTTTCATTGTCTGTGTACTGTTTGAGACGAAGATGACGCCGTTTTTTTATGTTTCTAAGGCTCTGAGTCAGAGCCTTCTGACAGATCTAACAGCGCACCGAGCAGATCGTACACCTGTGTAGCTATTAGCCATTTTTCAACCCATAGTATTTCCAAAAAGCCCGCCATTTCATTGTCCAGCGGACAGCAAAAGATGACAAATCAAAAGTATGACGATAAACAGGTTTTGATCTAAAGGCTGTGATTTGACTTCCACTACGTCGCCTATGCAGTGACTGGCGGTCACATTCATTTTCACGCGCTGGTTCATTATCAAAACGATGGAGTCTATCGACATGGAGGCCGGCACCGAAGGGATGCTCACGGACGTGGGCTTCATGTTTGACGCGTGTCTTGAGAAGGTCACATGCCGATACGAGTACGGCGCTAATGCCGACGTGTCGGTGCTACTCACGTACGCCAAGGATGAGCCCGGGGCCCTGCAAAGCGGCCACTACGTGTGGCCTGCTGCGCCCGCGCTGTGCGAATATCTGACCAGGCACCGCGACATTATCCCGAGCAGTAACGTGGTGGAGCTGGGTGCAGGCTGCGGGCTCACGGGTCTAGCTGTTGCCCAGATTCGACCTGAAGCTACTGTGATCTTCACGGACCATGACCCGGGTGTGCTCAAGGTCATCGAACACAACGCCGGCCAGCAGGAGCGCACGCAGGCCACGTGCCTTACGCAAAGTCTGCGTTGGGGACCGGATGGCGCAAAGGAGATCGAGGCAATAGAGAAGCTGCAAGTAGGACCTGAAGGTAGCAATGGCGTCACGGGTCTGATTGTCGGCTCGGATGTCATCTATGCGCGTGAGGTGGTACCGTTGCTCTTCTGGACAGTGGACAGGTTACTGTCGCCTGGTGGCGTGTTCCTCATGTGCTCGAGCTTTGGCTACGACGAGGAGACAGAGAAGGAGATAGACGTGCAGAGCGCCAAGTGCGGACTTAAGAGGGAGATTATCCAGTGCTCGCTGAACGAAGGAGGGACCAGGATCCAGTGCTTCACGCGGACAACTACCAGGTAGACTGTCGGGTGGTGTCTGCTAAGTTGTCGACTGTCCTGTCCTGACCTGCTGCCGATGCTGTATATGACGCGCTGCCAGATAAAGAGACGGAAGCGGCTCGCTGCCGGCGCTAGAAAAAGAGAGAGGATCGCATTGCCGGGAGGAATCACTCGGGACAGCCAGCGAACGGGTCGAAAAAAGCACAAAAAAACAATGAAAAAAACACGCTTCTATCAATATTTCCACGTTATTCCGTGGCAAAAGCATAGAGCTTGTGCTGGACAATATAGTCGAGCACCGTTGGATCCAAGTGCCTTGCCAGCTCAGCGCGATCAGCGGTGGCTCTGACCATCGTGGACGACACGTCACTGAGTTCAGGTACGTTGATGTACGTCACTCGATCCTCAGTATCGTGCTGATCCCTCCAAGGCGAATCAGTCCCTTTACGGTCCACCACCAACAGCTTGACCAATTGCATGAGCTCATTGCCGCGCTTCCACTTACCAGCCAATAGATCCGCGTATGTGTCGCCACCTAGCAGCAACGTGAAGTTCGTGTCCTCGTGGCTGTCCAATAGATAATCCAGCAGGTCGATACTGCCAAGTCGGAGGTCCTCTGGGTTTCCTCTTTTGGCAGCCATGAACTCGAACATTTCACGCTCCTCCTCCACCACTTTGAGCTGAGTGCCGTCGTCGCCGTCATTTTTCAGCGCCTCCAGCGCTAACCGACACATCTCCACGCGATGCTCGAACGGCGCGAGCTGTCTCTTGCTTGAATAAATGTGTTGGTACACAGGAAGCAGCCAGATCTCATCGTACATGGACTGGCAGTGCTTCACCACGCCCATGTGGCCTTTGGGCCCCGTCGGCGGGTTAGCCGACAGCCCAAACAGCAGCACCTCACGCGTCATATTGCTCAATCGTCGCATCATAGTGGTCGTTCATTGGATGAAACAATAAATTTAAGGATAACTACTTTAAAACTGCATTCAAGATGAAGGTTGTGATGCAGCGAGTAACCAGCGCCTCTGTGCGTGTGGAAGGCAACGTCGTAGGCCAAATCGGCAACGGTCTGCTTTGCTTTGTCGGTATCGGACACGATGACACTGAGGACGACGCCGAGTGGTGCTGCCGCCGACTCCTAGTAATGAAACAAATGATATGAATTTGGAATTTTCCAAGGTATCAGCTAATACAGACTCACTCCTTGCTGTTAGAACGCTCGTCTGTGGCCTGATGAGGCTGAGCGTGCATGGAGGAAGTCGCTGAAGGACAACGACTATGAGGTGCTGGTGGTGAGCCAGTTCACACTGCACGGCCAGTTCGCCGGCAACAAACCCGACTTCCATCTCTCCAGTACGTTGACAACAGTAGGAGTTGTGCTAAATGCTTGTTGGTGTTAATGTTTGGGAATGGCTACAACTGTTACGACTTTTGTAGTGGCACCGAAGCCGGCAAAGGTTTTTTACGACGCTTTCTGTGATCGTGTGCGCCGTGACTACGTCGCTGACAAAGTGGCGGAGGGCGAATTTGGCGCTTACATGGAAGTGTCTATTGTACGATTCCTCGCTGCGGTTACTGGTTAAAGTGAAGTTCTGAGTATTAACGTTGGGGGCTGGATGATTCCAGGTGAACGACGGACCAGTGACGATGCAGATCAACTCGAAGGACAGGAAGCTCGCTAAGAAATAGAGGGGTTGGCAGCCAGTGCACATATATAGACAATGCCGATGCCATGACAAGCTGATTAGCTTCCTCTATATTTGTACAGTATTGGTGCTGGTACGCACTATTTACCTTTCCTAATCCTACGCTCAGCCACATGCCGACACCTCTGGGGTACTCTAAAGTGTTGTTGGGCACGGAGACGGCCGCAACGGGGCCTATCTACCGCTCACTGGCGGATGCTCGAGATCCAGTTCTTCAAGATCCTGCAAACCCCGACGACCCGTTCGTGGGACTCACTCGACCAGAAGGTCCAAGCTTGTACCACAACTTCATTCGCACTGCACAGACAAACGGATCTCTTCCATGTATGGGTGTCCAACCCCTTGTTGATGGCGCTGTCCAGCCGTTCACGTGGCTAACGTACGAACAAGTGAGCGATCGGATCACAAATATCGGCGCTGGAATGATGCACTTGGACTTGTTGCCTCGAATTGGTGGGGAGAATGGAGACCGGATGCTTGCGATATACATGAAGAACTCTATCGACTGGGTGCTGGTCGAACATGCAGCATACGCATACAACGCCATCGTCGTTGCTCTCTACGACTCCCTTGGACCCGACTCGACCCAGTTCATCCTCAATCAGACAGAGATTGCGACAATCGTCTGTACTGCCGCTGAGCTGCCCAAACTTACACAAGTTTGCTCCAGGTGCCCGAACCTCAAAAACGTTGTCATATCTGGTGGATGCATTGGAGACGCACAGTTTGAAGTCGAGTGTAAGGTCCGTGAAGCTGGGATAAACGTATTGCACTTAGAAGTTGTTGAGACAGAGGGACAAAAGCATCCCGTCACTACGGAACCCCCGAATGGCGATGATGTGGCCACCATCATGTACACTAGTGGCACCACAGGAGACCCGAAAGGTGCCATGATGACACACAAAGCCATCCTCTGCGGCTGTAAAGCTGTTAAAGATTTCGTGACTGCAGGTGGACATGCGCTCAACACGGAGAGTGTGTATTTATCCTATCTTCCTCTGGCTCATATTCTTGAACGAACAGCTCTGGTACATTCTTTCAGTGTGGGGAGTCGAGTGGGGTTCTCGCAGAATAACCCACTCAAGCTGGTGGACGACATCAGAGCTTTACGTCCAACTGTCTTCATCACGGTCCCTCGGTTACTTAACCGGATCTACGACTCCATCACTGCTAAAATGTTAAACGGGAAAAAATCCCTTGCCTACTTGTTCACTACGGGAGTTCGGACAAAGTTGCGTCGTCTACGACGGTACGGCATCACGACTCACGTGTTCTGGGACCGCTTGCTCTTCCGGAAGATCAGAGCTGGCCTTGGACTCGATCGATGTGAGTTTATCATCTCTGGATCAGCCCCGCTAGCCCCAGAAGTGCTAGATTTCTGTCGAATTGCTCTCTTGGCTTCTGTCGTGGAAGGTTACGGCCAGACAGAGACTTGTGGCGGTGTTACTGCCACACCGTTTGAGGATTTATCGACCGGCTTCGTTGGTACACCAAATACTGCCGCGGAGATACGTTTGGAATCTGTGCCAGATATGGGTTATTTAGTGACGGATAGAACTCACGGAGAAGGGGCTTCCGCGGTTCCTTGCATGGGCCGAGGAGAGATTTGTGTGCGGGGGCCTCTATTATTTATGGGATACTACAAACAACCAGACAAGACGGCGGAAGCAATGGATGCTGACGGGTGGCTACACACGGGTGATATCGGATTATGGTCACCGTTTGGCCAATTACGCATTATCGACCGGAAGAAGAATATTTTCAAGCTCTCACAGGGTGAATACGTGGCTCCAGAGAAGATCGAAAACGTCCTGGTCACGTGTCCGAGCATCGCACAAGTCTTTGTGGCGGGTGACAGCTTCCACTCGCACGTCGTTGGTATTATTGTGCCGGACGAACCAGCGATCCGTTTGGCCGCGAAGCTAAATGGCTTGATGAATGCCACCTTTCGTGAACTCTGCGATCACGACGTGGTGAGAAGTACCATAAAGAAGGAGATCGAAGAAGCCTCCAAGCGCGCGAAACTTGCTGGCTTCGAGCGCGTGCGTGAGATCTACCTGCACCACGATCTCTTTTCAGTCGACAATGAACTGTTGACTCCTACGTTCAAGCTTCGTCGAGCAGATGCCCAGAAGTGCTTCAAGAACGAAATCGACCACATGTACGTGCTCACAGGCGATAGCGTGGTCAAGACGGCGATCCCTGATTTAAACTAGCCGCGACAATCACATTGACTCTTTTCCAGTCTATTATGCATCTTGCCTTCCTGTAACCTACAAGTACAGAAGAGCCCCGCTTATTGAACGCTTCTGCTCTACTTGTCCGAGCGACGGCCGAGGCGTTTTAACCTTCTACGGTAGTGCGAGCACGGTCGCTTGCCATGATTTGCCTGAACAGCGATAGTTAAGTCATCTTTGCTGTGGGATAACCCTTTGTCTACGGACGCACCTTCCTGGGTCGACGAGCGTTGCGGTTCAGCAGCTGCAGCGCTACAGGCCCTTCTGTGCGGCGCATACGCTCGAGTGCAAACTCGAGATTGTCCCTCATGTTCATCATGTACTGCGGCGCCGCGGGTTTGACGACAGGGACTTCTGCTGCATATGAATGTCAGAAATTATTACGGTCGGAAAAGTACTTTAACGCCTCGTACGTGCTGGGAACAGATCCCAAACCTTCGTGCGCGATGAAAAGCTGCGGCCCACATTAGGACTGCCAGTTGCCACGCGCTTGAGGATCACAGACATCATGGTGCTACCGTCAACTGCTGGACGGAAGGCTAGAAACGAAGACTTCAGATCGAACAATAAACATCATCACCAAGCAGAAACCGTCTGCGAAACTATTGGTTGAAATATGAGCGCGGTTTTATTAGATGATAATTGTTTTTTGTTTCTTACACGAAATTGGGTTTTTCAAACCCGGTGTTCAGTATGGTCGAGACCGGCGGCATCTTGGCGGGCTTCCTACCAGCGCGTACGTCGTTTACGAGGGCGTCTTATCATTCGCTGTCGACAAACTAAAGGATACTTTTTTTCAAGACTAACGGTGGCTCCGATTGCCTAAGTGACCGAGCAGATCTCCGAAAGCGTCGTGGAAGCTACCGGGGAAGTGGAAAATGCCCTCCATAAGGTGAGAACTTCCTCTTCTTGCGGTATCATGTAGCCAATTAAAGCTATAATGACGTCACTTAATATCATGCAGAGACTGGATTCCACAGGTAGTAAGAAGCAGCAAGCAAGACAGCTGAATGCCGTCGCAAAGGTGGGAACTCGGGCTCAATCGGGCGATGGTGCTACGAGTCCTTAATTCTCATGAAAACTTCGCTATGCATTGCTAATACAGGGATCTGGGAAGTACATGTCCAAAGTACATCGCGCGTTTGAAAAGAATTTCGACAAATTCGAGCTTTATGTACGACGCAACATTGTGTCGGTACCTGACGCTCTGGCCGATGAGGTAGCTCAGATTCGAGCTGAGAAGCAGAAGACAGACGGGGATAAAGACAATGTAGCCGCACAAGAAGCAGAAGATATGGCGTTATTGACAAGGGAAGAGAGGGAGGAACGAACATTGGACAATCAGTTGGAAGCGTTGCGTCTAAAACTGCGGGAGTTGACAGCATCAAACCAGCAATTAGAGATGGAAAAGAAGGCGCTGGATCTACGCGCACAACGTTTCCAAGGTCTCGTATCACAGTTAGCTTTTCTGGACGACGTCCCAGAGCGAACAATTTCTCCATTGAAGCGCACAGCGGAACACATTTCCGCTCTCCAGGACGCATTTTTGAGGATGGATAGTATTCAGGCAGCACTAGAAGAGGACTCGCGACAGTTTAAAAAATCGAAAGTGGCTACTCGCGGCAGCTTCCGGAAACTACGCAAGCAGTTTACAGCAAGAACAGCCGAGATGACGTACAGAACGACCGAAGATCTGGAAGAGCTGCACTCCAAACTGCCGACCTCGTAACCCCAATAGTGGAAGGCTCTTGCATCCGAGTCTGTCCCTGTATGCACAAAAAGCGATGTTCTTTTACTCTAAACTGTGTAAATGTCTGCTTGTCTTCTTGGTTGTGTCCGTACACGTTCATATATATACATTCATCAGTCCACCCTATTGTTCAATTTTGTCGGGGTTTTATTGTCTTCCTTTGCAATTTCTCTCCAGCGTAAATAGCAGGTCTCCAGTCGGCCATATAAGTCAAAAGGAGCTGCGTCGTCTTCGCTATTAAGAGGAAGGAACCTGGTCTGCTGTCTGTAAAAAGAATCTACTCCTCGTCCACGTCGTGCAGGTCGTCCATAACGTCGCCGACCTCCTCTTCACTCTCTTCCTCCTCGCCGTCAATCTCCACAGGCATTGGCATAGCGCCAATCTCGGAGCGCTCGTACTTAATCTTGCCATCCACCAGCACGTAGTTGCCATGGTCTGCCGACTCCGAGTGGTCATCGTGGTGGCCGTGGCCGTGGTCCCACGGGTGCTCAAAGCCCTGAATTGCATTAATAGCAGCCAGTGAGGATCGATAGAAAATAGCAGAAATGTAAGACGTACCAGCAAAGCGAGACCGTCTTGTTTTGCGCGCCAGAAGACCCAGAGCCAGAGCATCGTGCCGTAAGCCAGCGCCAGATTCTTGTGCACGGGGCTCACGTGGAAGTGCATACCGTGTGGATAGCTGTGGCCGTGTCCATGCGCCGAGGACATGGCGCGGCGGCCCGAGGCGGCGGCCATGCGGCGAGCGAGGAACCCTGCAACACGCATCTTCGTAAATTTATTGCGTTCCGCTGGTCTGGGTCTCCGCAATTTTTTCGTCAAAAACGAGCGGCGGAGAAGAGATACTCGTGATTGGAAGAAACAAAATGAGTTTTGGCGAATGGATGGCAATTATTTTAGCGAAAATCACTTAAGGGGATGTTTCATTCGGGGGCAGGTCAACGTGCTAACTTTTGCACGATGCTGTTGCCACTGGTCAAATATGTGTACCACACTTTTTCCGGACTATTTTAAGTCTATAATGATATCTGCTAATACTCTGTAATAATTAACAATATCGTGACTACTATTAATTATTATATTCGACCTATTAAACAATTACAATAATAGTCACAATGTAGTATTCTTAAGTTCCACAAAATTACTATAAATCAAGCGATAATAATAATAATAGCCCCACCCCGATCTCCAAGAGATGCAGAGGTTTGAGCACCAGTCATCTCTACCAAAATAAAACAAGGCTCCTTGTGTCATTCAAGGTTTAGTCAACCACCTCTCAACCGTTAAGCTCTGACTTGAGGGCGTTTGTACACGTCGTGGCTCGAGATAATGAAGTGTGCTGCCATTGTCCCGAACTATCAGTAGTGCTGCCGTGTTGTGTCTGTCAAAAAGGTGTTCATCATTAGTGTAGCAACGACGTCTACGCTGATGCTACACTAGAAAAACGGTAAAGCTACAGTGCACATGAATGTTACCATACATGTCGTGAAACTCAATGCGTTGTGTTCATTTGTCTACATTAGATTCTGTAGTACTGATTGTCTACATCAGTACCTAGGACCTCCGCCGCCAGTTGGCCAAGATATTACGGTAAAAGAAACTGGTGCTTCTGCTGTTTCGCCCGTCAATAACCTGCGTAGCACACCGCCAGCGTCGCGACATCCTAATGATTCCTGTGGAACAAATGCAACATCGCCATCAGCTCTACCAGAGTATGACACGCATGGGGTACCTGTTTATGTGGAGCACCACTCTCGGCCTAACGCCAGGGACGCAGTTTGGTCCATTATCCACGACCTTGCTAAGCCGTACAAACAGTCTCGCGGGCGCAGCCAATCTTCGTTTACATCGGTCTGCTTGCTATGTACGGCCGATAGCCAGTCTGCAAGTAGCCCATCGCATTGGGAGGTTGGTTTGTTGAGGTGCTCGAACACGTCAAATGCCAAGGTTCATGTGCGAACGATGCATCCAGATCACCCCTTGGGTAAGGAGGAGATAGACAAGATAGGCAATCGTGCAAAAAAACGACTGTCGGATTTAATATACAGGCAACAACCTAGTAAGCGTGTCAAGGCAAAGGATGCTGGACCAAAGACCCGAGCAGGCCCCCTAAAGATGTTGTGGTGCCCTACAGACAAGGCAATCAACACCGCAGTTTCGAACTGGCTTGTCTCAGACGGTATGTAGTATATAATGCGAGTTACTGTCTTATGTCGTGTATTGATACTAATGCTATTTGGTAATACTGGTTAGGACTGCCCTACAACTACGTCACATCTGAGGCGTTTCGCTCTTGCCTTCGGTTTGTAGCAGGCAAGGGGCAGCTCACGATTTTATCACCTTCGACACACAATGATCTCCTCGATGCATCTTATGATCGCTATACAACACTGACTAACCGCTTCTTACACGACGAGTTTCAGCGGTTAAATGGTCAAGCATTTTTGACACTGATGCGCGACACGTACACTAGTTGTGGAAAGAAGGGTGTAATTGGAGCTTCCGTCAACTTTCTCGATCACAACTGGCGCATGCATCACATTTCGCTACTGGTGACGGTGAAAAACGACTCCCACGCTGCTGAAGAAGTGAAGAGAGTGATTGTTAAATGCTGTCAAGAAAAATATGGGATCGATATTGGTGCAATGGCTAAGTTCAGTGTCTCTGATACAGCACCTGTCGCTCGTAAGATTTCCAAAGAATTTAATGCCACGTTGCCAACGGATTGCCACATGCACATTTTAAGCTTGTGTCTTTCATACGGGCTGGGATTACGAGAGAGCGTGAGAACGGGTTACATGGTAGACCCAGTTACCAAACAAATGGAGAAGCAGAAACTGGTAATGACTGAAGGCGGCGCACTTCCGGAAGGGTCCAAAGTTATTCGAAAGTTACGAAGGCTAAATAATTACTTCTCCACTCCCCAGAGGGCAGATCGACTTGAGAGCCTGCAAAAATACCTGAAATTACCGGTCCTATCTACATTACTTGACGTCGACGTCCGTGTTGCATCTGCGTCAAGCCTAATGCAACGATCGATTGTGAATTTTCCAGCTTTTCGAGCCTACTTTCAATCACCTGAGCCAAGTGATGACCCCTCTGTATTTACTGCACTGTCGGATGAGGATTGGCGTTTAGTTGTTGAACTGGATGGGATCACGAATGTTGTTGCGCACTTAGCACGGATGGAGATTCAACGAGAACACTTGCTGGCATCGGAAGCAATCATGCTAATTAAATTGGCTGCCAATCGCCTTAGTGCGAACAAGTTCAGATGTTATGATCTGCAGTCGGGGCGAACATCGCTCACTAATGAGAAAAACCTTCCTCGGTTGGAAATCGCCAAGGAAGATATGTTAGGTGGAGCTCAAACTTGTATCGCCCGAATATCGGCTCAGTTACGCCAGCGAGCACCAGCATTAACGCCGGATCATGTCATGTCACTACTGCTTGATCCTCGAACGAAATCTGCGGTCCAGTCGATTTTGAGCTGCTCCTCATACGACGATAGTTCTCGTGATCAAATTATCCAACAAGCCGAAACATTGTTCCAGAACGAGCTTCGTAAGCTCTTTAAGCTGAAAAGGACACATGAAAACGGATGTGACAAGAGACCTATTCCAGTGACCTCGAGAGACCTTCGCAGGACCACTTGTGATGAAGACGAGTTTGTCATTTGTGGCGACCCGTTGGAGACACATGAAGAGATGTGCGAAGGAAACTATCTCACTCAAGCATATCAAGAATTAAAACGCTGGAAAGTGCTCTCTGTTAAGTGGATTGATGTTGCAGAGCGGCAAAACTTGCATGGGCTCTCAAGAGAGGAACTAAGAACACGTATGACGACTGTGCGCCAAGATGGACAAGTTTGTCTTAACTTGTTCGAGACATGCAACCATGTGGACCTGTGTCAATGGTTCCGTGAGACGGGTAAAATAGAGTTTCCGTCAATTGCAGCAATGGCCAGAGTATGGTGCGGACGCAGCTCGACGACCGCCTTCCAAGAACGGGTATTTTCTACTGGTGGGCTTGTCATGAGCAAGCTTCGCACCCGGACGGAGAACCTCCGAGCTGAAAAACAAGTGATTTTGAAGCATAACAAGCGTGAAATAGCCTGGCTAGAAGACAAAAGCGAGCTTTACCTCGACGAATGAGCGTTGGCGTTCTGGTATCGTTTAAAATACGATACAGGGGCTTCAGTGCTAGCAATGACAAACAAGCATAACATTCCATTAGTACACTTACATAGTTTGCTTCATTCAGCGATGTATTGTAATTGTATACGTCGACGCCGTGTAATTGTAGATGATCATTAGTCTCGACGCTGTGTAGATCATTGAAAATATGTTTATGGTTGTCGTTATCAGGAAAAAGTTATTGTTTCAATATCTCGCCAATATCTGGTGTTTAACCAACATACCGTGGAGTTATAAAATATTGTGCGTCTTTGTAGACATTTCGATCTTCACTGTTCGCTCCATCGCCGCGATTATACTCGTTGCTCTACGACAATAAGTACTCAAGTCACTTAGTCGCTAGAATCACTCATGTCTAGCAAATAATTCCAATCAAATCACCTTGGCGATGTACAATCAGCTCGCAGTAACTGGTGCTACAAGCTGGATTAGCTTTATGATCGATATGATTAATGATGCTGCGATCCTTGTACTGATTTCGATGCTTCGGTGTAACCACATGTAATCAACAGCCAAGAAAAAGTAAAGCCACAACGAATGAGCAATAAAGCCGCCAAAATATCTCGTTTCCTTGCCTCAGGAACGCGATCAAGTGCTACGTCCTCGAGTAAATACTGTAACTTTCCACTTACCAGCGGCCTGACGTACGTCCAAGCCGTATCTTGATCTCAGAGAATCGCGTGAGCTTCGCTCTTCAAGTCCCTGATTAGATAAAGAATGGCCCGTATTAATAGCCAAAATATTAATATTAAAAACCACTGTAGGTTCGATGCCGATCCAGATCTCTATTGATAGTTATGAGGTTAAAATTTGTCATCCAAATATTACTAATCAGATCGACAAAAAATGCCATTACTATCAATCCCTGCCTACAAGCAATAAATAATTTATTTGCAAGACAGATCTCCCACTCAGTGGGCCACCCAATAAATGACCGTGCGATGTGCCTTGATTGGTCAAAAAATGAAAATTTATTGGTTTACTGTAAAACTCATTTGTCAGCACCATGCGTTTGCATTTGAGGCACAGGACTATAAGGGACGACAGTTTGGGTACAATAAGGGACGACGGATACCCGAGACCCTCCTCCGAATGAAAGAGACCTTCATTCCACCTTTTGCTGCTAAGACCAACACGCGACGAAGGCGCTAATGGACCTGCCAACCACAAATCGACTCTACCAAGCTGCTATCGCTGCAGCCCGGTTTGCGGATCAAAGACTCGAGAGCCGGAAGCGTAGCGACTACAGCAGCAGTCTTCGACGATTCTCAGCGTTCTGCAAAAGTGGAGGCTACCCAGACCCACTGAAGGAACGATTTGTGGAGCTGTCCGGTGTGGTGGCCGCGTACATCAACTTACTCGCCACCCCCAACTCAGCTCAATGGCCCGCTGAAAAGCTTCGCGCTGCGCTTATCTGGCACTACACGAAACCTGAGATGCTAGCCGGTGGCCACCCACACGATCGTTGGGTTGTTAAGACTTCTCCGGACGGCACCCCAGCACCTCGAGGCAACCCCGCACGGTCAGCAGCCATCACGCAGACTCTCGCCGGCTCAGCAAGTAAAGAAGCGCGAGCTGACTCCAAAGCGTGCGTC